CTTGTTTTAGTGGCGCACAAAAATACAGCTAATAACAAGGGGGGATTCCCTCTTGTTTTAGTGGCGCACAAAAATATGGCTAATAACAATGTGGGGGATTCCCTGTTGTTTTAGTGGCGCACAAAAATATAACTAATAACAATGGGGGGGGGGGGAGGATTCCCTGTTGTTTTAGTGGCGCACAAAAATACAGCAATTAACAAGGGGAGGATTCCCTGTTGTTTTAGTGGCGCACAAAAATACAGCTAATAATAAGGGGGATTCCCTGTTGTTTTAGTGGCGCACAAAAATACAGCTAATAACAAGGGGGATTCCCTCTTGTTTTAGTGGTGCACAAACATATAGCTAATAACAAGGGGGGATTCCCTGTTGTTTTACAAAATATCCCTCCTTAATAACGTTCTTGGATTGGTCATCGGAAAAAAAAAATGTCGTCAGTTTGAAAATTTTCCCTCAGCAAGGTTCGTAGTAAAATGGCTATTGAAAACCAGTGTAACTTACTGTATGTTCTGGAGGAAACTTTGTGTTACACTCCACGCCCCGGTGGAACAGCTGTAAGTTTACGGACTCATAACGCTAAAATTCGGGGCTCGATTCGCCGCGGTGGACACGGCAGATAGCCCAATGCGGCTTCGTTCTAAAAAAAAAAAACAAAGAAAAAACTTAAAACTATTTATAACCTACAGAAATTTGGACCAGATCAACAGATTTGTGGTTTAATACTCTATATCTCCCCCCTCCGCCCTGTGGCTTACGACACTAAAAATAGAGTTTCGATACCCGTGTTAGACAGAGCGCAGCTTTGCGCTTAACAACAAACAAACAACCTATGTCTTTAAAAAGGTCCTCTAACGATCATTCACAGTTATTGAGCGTTTGAGTTTAATTCTGAGTCTAAAACAAATCACTTAGTTGTACAGTTTTTAACTATTCGTTATTTAATTCACCACAAAACAAAATTGAAATTGAGGACTTTCATAGAGGTCGTTCCTCAGTGGCTACATCTGAAGGCTTATAACGCTAAAAACCGGGTTTCGATACTCGATGTGGAAACAGCACAGATAACCCCTAGCGTTGTGCTTAACAATAAATTTGTTTGTTTGTAGTTAAGAACAAAGCTACACAAT